CAGCACCAATATGGGAGGCTGGTATCACAGGGGGGCAGCTTTAATCTGCTATGTCACACCAGGAAGTTTATCCCCACCAGAAAGAATCACAAAGACCCTAACAAATGACACAATATCAGTTACCAATCTGGGAGGAAAAATACTGAAAAAAAAATACAGAAATAATGTATATGTAAGAAAACTGACAAAGAAATGTGTGTATCTTTTTAATGAACTTCTTTCTATTGTGGACATCATTCATTCACCTATCCTACAATTTCACTATAAAAATCGCTCTTCTACGGAACAACAACCAGGAGCACTGAGCACTGAGCACTGAGCGGTCCACAGAAACAGAACAGTAAACTTCCTTTGGGACTAGTGAGAGGAGCTTTTTCTGGTCCTTGCCTGGTTCTGACTTTGGGTGCCCACCCTCTCTCGTAATGACCATCAGGATTGCTCCAGAAACCCCCCAAAACAAACAAACAAACTAGAATAGATAGAGAACAACAAGGAAAGCTTAGAAACAGGAAACGGGCAGTGGGGATGCACTTATAACTCACTGGGTGGGACACAAAGATTAGTTACTCCTCACTAGGGTATTGAAGATTTCTCTGCACACCCCTCCTAAAACTGTTCACCTCAAGAGTTGACATATGTCTTGTTAGAGTTATAGAGTTAGACTACCCGAAAAACAGCCAGGTTCAGCAAAATCATGCTTCACTGCTATAAACTGCTAAATACTAAAATTAAAACAGACATGAGACAGCTGAATAGTAATCTATAGCCATTTTAAGGTGTATAGAACCCGGTTGTATATAAACTAATTGAAATGTCAATGTAAAAGTCACAGGATGTGGTTCAGAACTTCCATTCTTTTTTTTTTTTCCTCTTTTAACATATTGGTTACTCAATACCATGTCAATTAACTCCATAATGTTATAAATTGTTGTTGATGTTGTGTTGTGGCTTTTCATTGGACGGGATGATATTCTGCCAGTTCTGCTTTCAGACCAGAGATGGTCTCCCCAAGAAACCGTTGAACTTTATCTGGACAATAAAATGCTGGACTTTATGCTTGGTAGATGCTTGCAATGAAAAAATCTCAACTGAATTTGAACTGTGGTAATGCAACAAGGTGGAGGAATCCACTGGGGGGGGGGGGAATCTCAGTGCCTATAAAACTGTATCACATAATGCAATGTAATCAATTAAAAAAAAATTGCTCTTCTAGGCCCAGCACAATAGCTCAGTGGCTAAATCCTCGCCTTGCATACATCAGGATCCTATATGGGTGCTGATTTCTATCCTAGCTGTTCCACTTCTTTCCCAGCTCCCTGTTGGTGACCTGGGAAAGCAGCAGAAGATAGCCCAAATCCTTGGGACCCTGCACCTGTGTGGGAGATGCAGAAGAAGTGCCAGGCTCCGGGCTTCAAATTGGTTTAGCTCCAGCCATTGGAGTCAGTAAATAGAAGATCTTCCTCTGTGTCTCTTTCTCTGTAATCTTAGATTTTCCAATAAAGATAAATAACTCTTGAAAAAAAATTGCTCTTCTGGGGCTGGTGTTGTAGTATAGCAGGTCATGTCCCACCTGCTCCACTTCTAATGCAGCCCTCTGTTAATGTGCCTGGGGAAGCAGTGGAAGATGACAGAAGTGCTCATGTCCCAACACCTGTGTGGGAAACCCAGAAGAAGCTCTTGGGTTCAGATCAGCACAACTCTAGCCTTGGGGCCATCTGGAAAGTCAATGAATGGATGGAAGATCTTTGTTTCTCCCTCAAGCTGTCTCTTGCCTTTAAAATAGTTTTTTTTAAGTTGCTCTTCTTCCCAAATAGATTAATACTTGTTTTTTTTATCTAAGATATACCAGAGTTTCTATTATACCCTAAATTGTGTTCTATAAGAAAAACTTATTTCCATTATTTTTGCTTCATTTTTCTAACTCGAAGTTCCAATATTATGTTTATTTTTAAGTTTTGGCTCCTATTTTAATATCGATTTATTATCCTGGGGTAATAAAGAACCCTTGAACTAAATTAGGTCACAATATTATCATGATACACTTCATTAAGATTTTTTGTTTCTTGGAGAGACTGCAGCTCCTTCCTACTTCACTCACCCAAAGCCCACGATGGCTGGGGCTAGAGCTTGGAGCCAGGAACTCAATCCACATTTAGTCATCAGCACTGCTCCCAGAGACAGCAGGTTTAAGTCAGGAGCTGGAGATAAAATTGAATCCAGGCATTCCAATGGGGGACACAGGATTCCTAACTGGTATCTTTATGCCTCAGAATAAATATCAGTCTTTGGTTTTTTTAAATATTATAATCTCACTGAAAATTGAGGTAGGTTGACTTAGAATTAAATGGTTTACACAGCTTCACCCAATAACTATGTGTTGTTCACCACACATGTATCCTTTTTCTTTAAACAAGATGCTCTGTCGATAGGGAAAAGGTAAAGCCTTAAGAAAGCACTTGATCTCATAGGGAGAACTAGAAAAAGCAGACAAGTGAGTCTATGATAGGACTAGAACTATGCAGTATAGGAATACTTGCATATGTCTGCAGATTCTAGCATAGAAGGGTTCTGGCATCTATAGGTGTTCACAAGTATACACTGTTGCAGTGGGCTAGGTGATACAGCTGCATTCTTATAAGGGATGCTGAACAATAATGGTCTGGCAGAAATGAATGTAGTATGGATTAATGTTTTGTCAGATCAATGAATTACAGGCGGATCAAGGAGCTTCCATGTCTAGGCTATTCAGCAACTCCTGGATGCCACAGCTAGAAACAATCTCTCCTCAAAATTATACAAGTTTCACATGGCCAGTTAACTGTTCTCTGCCTTGTTTCATCATGATTGACTTATAAGCATTAATTCGATGGATAGGTTATAAGTTTTTTGAAAGTATCCACACCTGAAGTGTTTTCATAGTTCTGATAGTACCTGTAGTACCTGGCTCAGAGTTCAGTAAAAGTCAACAGATATTTTGTTGATTACCACACTGAAGGCATCATAACACAGGTTAAAAAAAAAAACATAGGATTCAAGCTAAGAATTGGTATGCACAAAATATAAATAATAAAGAGTAAGGTAGTGGGCTTTTTTTTTTTTTTTAAGAAAAGCAACGGCATACATGGCCTAGATTGTTCTTTTTATATACCTCTGATGACAACTACTGTTTCTGCTGGTGACTGATGCTTGCTGACATGCCCTCCAAGTCTGCATACAGCGAAAGCAGTGCTTGGATCTACTGTAAGCATCACTCTATTTAGGAGATCAACACTGCCTCCTTGATACCTGTCTTCAGTCCAAAGTCTCTGCTCAAAGAGCTGATTTCCAATGGTCTCAGGGTGGGTTGGCCTAGGGCTACTGCTTGCTTTTAGATCTCATATACCCTTTGAAGAATGCTTCCTGCCCAACTCCCTTGTCTTCACCAAGAATAAATGAAAAGCTGTTTTTCTAAGGCCACCCACATAATGGCTGTTCAAGTTCCCAGCTGATCTGCATGTGCTCCATATAGCCAGCAGATCAGAGCTGGGATGCATCAAATACTATTGAAACTATCTATCCTGGGACATTTTTGGAAGCAAGACCTTTGTGTTACTTTATATGCGCTAAGCTCTGAGGTCAGGGTGACGAAACTGTTCATCAATGTGTAGGGTGGTGTCTTACACTTCTTAGTAAAAATGTGCTGAACAAGCTAGGTCACCACTGGTGTTTTCATACTTCTGATTAGACCTGAAGACTGAAGCTATGCTGCCATCTCCTGCACCTGCACCACTATCTTTAAATATCAGGCTATAACTCATTTATACTGAAATTAACATATCTGATGCCATAAGAGAAATTTATGTGAATTTACATGACCAGGAAAGAATGGAAACCGCAAACCTCCTGCAACTACAATAAAGCAGTTTCCAACACACTTTTGCTTCAGGTACATACTGAACAGCATATGCATGAACACTGGGTTCGATGTAACAATTCTACCATGGATCTCTGTCCAAAACTGAAGGAAAAAATGTTGCTTACAATTGCATAAATGTCATACAAATTTTCATGATTAATTTCATCTTTTGGCTATCCTTGAATGGTCAATAGTATGGATTTAAACATAATGAATCAGGTCAGCACATGGGCTCAACTGGCTAATCCACTTCCAAGAGTCAGCATCCTATATGGGCACCAGTTCATGTCCCGGCTGCTCCACTTCCCATCCAGCTCCCTGCTTGTAGCCTGAGAAAGCAGTTGAGGATGGCCCAAAGCCTTGGGACTTGCACCAACGTGGGAGAACCAGAAGAGGATCTGACTCCTGGCTTCAGATCGGCTCAGCACCGGCTGTTGTGGTCACTTGGTGAGTGAATCATCGGCCAGAAGATACTTCTCTCTGTCTCCTCCTCTCTGTATATATCTGACTTTGCAATAAAAAATAAATAAATCTTTAAAATAAGTAAAATAAATAAAATGGTCTGGGGCAGGTGTGACCCAGGCCACCAAGTATGATACTTCCTCTTGGAAAGCTTTTATTCTCCCAGTGAGTTAATCTAAATATAAAACCACTCCCTCCTCCACACTGACTATCTCTTGTCCTTGTACTTCTCACTCTGACTAGGGTTGGAGAGTACAGCAACCAATACTGCAACCTTTCACTCAACACTCTTGCGAGGACCACAGAAGTATCTGCTTCAAATCATTCTCTTTTTTCATTTTGTTTATATTTGAAAATAGCACAGCCAACAGGGTTTCCACACAGCCTTTGGAGCAAGATTTCTAATACTGATAATCTCTTAAGATACAAAATGAATTTTCTAAAACGAAATTTGTAAAGATTCACACAGAAGGAATATTTCTTGGTTTCAAAGCAAAGCATGACAGTAAGCACAGTGTACTGGATTTATGACACTAACTTTACAATCTCAAAAAACAGACAGGGTCTAATAACACAGATTCTACCTTTTTCACAACCCATTTTTCAAAAACTTAACAGAAAGAAGTTATATATATATATATACCTTCACTGTCCTTGAATTTCTTAATTGCGACAATTTCATGTGTTTCCTGCAAAAGAAAAGAGACAAAAGGAAAGTCATTCTGTAATATTTCTCCAACTGGGGACCCAAACTGCCTGTGGGAGGGGGATTGCGGGGGGGTGGGGGGACATATTCTTGACCAAACTAACAAGATTCTAGAATGTAAAAGAATAGATCAGTGAACTCCCCAGCTCCTCACTTCTTTTTCAAAAATTCTCTTTCTTACCATCCTGCAGAGATCATCAAGGAAAGAAAAAGGGAGAGGGTAAAGGCCAAAAGCAACAACTGCAACATGGTGTGCCTAAGTCAGAACCCACAGTGTCCCTAAGCGGCTCTCAAGTGCCAGGCCGGCTAGCTCCTATCCTGCCCCTTGCAATCCAGACACTCATATTCACTGAGTTTTTGTTATTATTATTAATTACATTGCATTATATGATACAGTTTCATAGGCTCTGGGATTCCCCCAATCCCTGCCTGTGCCCTCCTCAGCCATGGTGGATTCCTCCACTTTGTTGCAGTATTACAGTTTAAGTTCAGTCAAGATTCTTTCTTTGCAAACATATACCAAGCACAGAGTCAAGCATCTTATTGTCCAGATAAATTCAATGGTTTCTTGGGGAAACTATCTCAGGTCTGAAGGTAGAGCTGGCAGAATATCATCCCAATCAATTGAAAGCCCCAACACAACATCAACAACTTAACTGAGTTTTAAAGACCAAGAAAGGATCTCTAACAATACTTCCTAGTGCTTGTGGAAACTTGACCTTTCCCAAGTCATTTCACTTACCTCTTCCTAACGAACACTACCTAGGTTGGTGACCCCTTTGATATTCATGGTTACTGCCAAATCCAAGGTGAGATAAAATTCTGTCACCAATCAATCATAACATTCCTTCTGCCTCCATTGATATCACCTGAATTAATAAAATTAGTTTTGGGGAAGGATTCTATTTTAAAGCAAAAATGACCATTCCCCCCTCCCCTTCTTGGTTGGTGGAGGGAAAAGAAAGTAAGGGTTGGAAAGAAAATGGAAATGCTAAGAACTTAGTACTACCAGGCTAGGCAACTTGTGTCTAGTAAAGGGCTATAAAATTCTTGGGGGGGGGGTAATTAATACAGAACCTTCAAAACTCATCCATCAGATAGAAAGCCTTCTGAATGACCCAAGCCTGCCCTTCTTTAAGTAGGTACACTTTCAGGTCCAATCATTTAATAAAATGTTGCATCTGCATCATAACAGACTTTAAAACTATACACAACAGCAGTAAATAACCAACAAGGTTCTTATCATTAACTTATTAAGCATATGAGCTCTTCTCCGAAGCCCTTTTCAAAAGCAAGAGGAATCATGGAAAGAAGGCAGGGATGTGGAGAATCAAGGAAGGAGAGACAGAGACCATTTTCATCATTGTGTTTTAAGACAAAGCTAGGCCTATATTTGCAAATAAAAGCATTGTTGTTTCTCAGCTTTCATGCCTGTGCTATAGCAGATAACATTATCAGGAAATGTTAGAAGCTATTGGGGAAAATGACACTTCTAGATTATTGTGGGTTCTTTTCTCATTTTTTAATTATATATATATATTTTTGTCTAGCATGTGATAATGGCTCATGTTTCCAGGGTACCACGTGGCATTCCAACACATGTACACAATGTGCAGCAATGGACAGAACTATACAACGTATAGAAAACTTTTGGGCTACAATTCCTTTGTACATTCATGGACCTGAAAGCTGAAAGACATTCATTCTTTCTGATGTAACTATTATTGAAAAGATTATTATTAACACCAAGTAATGTGGGAAATCACCAACTCTGGTATTAGCACAAGGAGTACCATGGTGACTATTCTGCCTGTTACTCTCCTAATATACAAGTTTCATCTTCTTGTACCTTTGTAAATGCTTCTAGCTAGCTACCTATAGAACTAACTACAAAGAATCTCTTGCTTTTAGCTCACAGTACAAAAGAGCTGGTAGCATAATAGACTTTGAGGAGTAGAGTCAAACATTTTTCCTCATTTACACCCCCTTCCCACACACATACATGGTTTATGCATAGTATTAAATTAAGCAAGGAATCCAAACAAATGATGTTTTCAACATAAAACATATTTGACATTGAGTAGAAAACATGCAATTAAGGGTAGAAGATGCTGGAAAGAATTTAACATTTCAGTTATACTAAAACTGCGTATAAAAAATAATGCAAAGTAACTATAGAAAATATAAAAAGACTATAAAGGGAATAAAAATGACTATTAAAAAGATATCAAAAAGATTGCCCTAATCTTTGCTAACATTTCAATATATTTTTTCCTGTAAGTTTTTCTCTATTTTTAATTGTAATATAGGTTGAGTGTCTGTCATTCAAAATTGTTAGAACCCAGCTGTAGACAACTGCCTAGGTTGCACTGTACCTAGGCAAGTGTTGCACTGCTAGGAGAAAAGCAACTAACAGCTGTAGGGCATCCTAGGCCTGGTTAATGCCAAATTTCTGCAAACTACACAAGTGTTCAAAATATAGTTGCCTATTCTATTTTTCTTGAAGGCATGGGGTGGGGGGCAGGTGCAGGCACACCAGCAGACAGGGTCTGGGACTGGCACACAAATGTGCGTGGGCCCTGGGTGGGCAAGCAGGGATCCAGGCTGGCATGGCACGTCACCGCAAGAGTGGGCTTGGGAATCTGCGGGCATGGTGGGCTGTGGATAGCCCAGGGAGGTGGGTCAAGAGATGTGTGGGAGGGAGGACTGCTGAGGAAGAATGTGAAAGGTGAGGAGTGACTTCTGGGGGACTTCTACCAACCTGGCTACTACACTTAACAGATAAACAAGAGGGCTGAGACCCGATAGTATAGAGGAGGGAAATGGGAGGACATTTTGGGGTCAAACCAATACACTCACCCAGGTGGGAGACCTGAGCTGGAACTGTTATCAACCACCACCTACCAGTGCACACAAAAGCCATGACTGGGGGACATGACTGGCAGGGCTCAAGCACAATAATCACCAGTGAGCGTCGAGGCAGGATGTGGACCACGTCAGGCTGGGCCATGATACAAACCAGCTCACAAGAAAATCTGGTAGGGAGCAGATTCCATGGGTGATAGTGGGCTCAACTTTGTGGGACTGCCAAACCAGCTGGTTTACTTAAGAGCTGGGATGATGACAGGCTGAGCTAGGCATGATCATGTAACTCAACAATACTCATGGTTACTGGGGTTGGGGTCAGGCCAGACTGGTCTAGGCTGGAGTACCTGCAAGTACACCCAAGATTTGGTTGTGCAGCAAACAGAGCCACATCATCCACGAGCACACTAAAAGGCTGAAACTGGGGCACAAACTGTGCCAGGTAAGGGGCTAACATCCTCTGACACACATGACATCTGGGTCTAGGAGTAGGCCTGGTGGGGAAACTTGGGGAACTCTCCTGGTGGGCCATTGCTACCATTGGTGAGTATGGGATTCAGGGCTGGGTTTGGTCAGGCTGGGAATGGCTGCTTCACTGGCTAGCAGGTGTGTGGATTAGCTCTGTAGAGGGCAGACTGGCAGAACAAGGCCAAACTATAGCACACTGGAATGTGCAGGAGCCAGGATAGGGTGTGGGCCATGCCAAGTTACGCTAGGCTATCACACCTACCAGTTTCCATGAGCCAGGATGGAGGAAGGCAGGGCGGGGGTAGGCTGGGTAGGGCTAGGTTACAGAACCCGCCAGTCAGAGTTGGCACTGGGGGTGGGCCAGGCCAGGCCAGGCCAGGTGATGGGTTATGCAAGGCTTGGTCAGAGCAAACACTAGCATGTACAAGAGCTGTGACTGGGAGCTAGCTTGCTCAGAGAGTTAAGGCGACACCCCTGCTGGGCTGTGGTTCTCACTAGTGAGGCATGAGAGCTGGAATGGGGCAACAAACTGGGCTGGAAAAGGCTGCAGCATCCCTTGGCATGGGTGTGGACTGGGGTATACCAGACTGGGCTAGGCTTCAGCACCCATTGGTGCTCACAAGAGACAGGGTACATGTAAGACAGGCTGGGCTAGGTGTCTGCACCTGCTGAACCATGTGAGAGCTGGGTCTAGGTGTAGAAAGGCAAGGCTGGGCTACAAAACCCAACAGTAAATGGGTGTGGGCCAGTTGAGCAAGGCTGCTGTTCCTGCCAGGACAGGAGGTGGGCCAAGTCAGGATGAGCCAGGGACTCACCTGTGTGCATGTGATCTGCCACTGGGAGTTGACCTGATAGAGGAGCTTGGGGAAGTTTCCTGTCAGACACAGTCCCTGCAGGTGAGCACAAGAAGCAAGGCTGGGAGCAGCCCAGACCAAGCTAGGTTACAGTATTGGCTGGCACGTGTTTGGGTCAAGTCTGGGGACAGGCCAAGTTGGGCCAGTTCATATCACCCACTGACAGATGTGAGAACCAGTACAAAGTGTAGGATAGGCCAGGTTGGGCTGCAACACCAGCCAGCTCACATTAGGGCTGGGACTGGGGGCTGGCTGGGATAGACTAGACTGCAGCACCCACCAGCATAAGCTGGAACTAGGAGTAGACCAGGTCGAACCAGGTTGCAGCACTTGCTGAGGGATGTTGAGGTGAGAAAAGCCATTCCAGACTGGATCACAGCTTCCACCAACACATGTAAGACCCAGGATGGGGGTAAGCTGCAAGGACTCTCCTGCTGGGCCACTTGCTCATGAGCATGAAACCTGGAATTAGGGAAAGACAAGGCTGGTCAGGGCTACAAAGCCCACTGCCCTGCATATGAGCTGGGTTGGGAGAGAGCCAAGCTGGGTTAAGAGATCATATCCACTGGTGCATGCCTGAGCCAGAGTAAGTGCAGGCTGTTGGGCTTTGCATCAGCATCTGCAAGCAGGTGCCTGGACTAGGGGCCAGTCCTGTCTGACTAGACCATAAAACTACCTGCAAGATCTGGAGCTGGGAGTTGGCCTATAAGGGAAATTGTGGGCACCACTCTGATGAGCTGCAACTCCCACTTGCGAGCATAAAAACCAGGGCAGGTGGCAGGCTGGCTAGACAGGC